CCACCCCCGCCCCTGGAGTCGCACCACCGCAGCCCTCGGCCCGGCTTACTTCACACACGCCCCCCGCCCCGCAGTTCCGCTCTTGAAAGGTTTTCCTTCCTTCCTCGCGGCAGCACAGCAGCGGCAGACCGCAGCCGCCAGAGGCTTGCTTATCCAATAGCCAAGCCGACAATTAGGACAAGCAAGCGAATCGTGTTTTGGGGGGAGCCGATTTGTCGTCAAAGCCGCGGTGACCCAGTACTCGCCTCCTCCGCCCTCCCTCCACCGACCCGGGGCAGCGCCACAGACAGAGGCGGCAGCTCCGATTCGGTCGGGTTAAGCTCCCGGAGGGGGGAGGGGAGGGCGGGCGGGCGTTACGTCAACGGCGTTCCGCCCCGGAGGCGGCCCGGCCCCGGAGACAACCACACCAAGCACCGCCCGGGGGCGGGCCGGGTCCCCCCACGGAGTCAATCAGCAAGCCCGGAAGTGGACACCTCACATCAGGATGAGTACAGCGCATGCGAACACACACACAGACACACACACACAAACACACTCACGAATGGCTTGGTCAGTCCAGGGGGACAACACGACGTACACAACACATGGTTCATCACGAGGATCACGTGGACGAGGCTATATACCTGGGTCATCGCGGCGCGGAGCGACGGTGCGGTATCCGTCACAGGGGCGCCGGGCGGCGCCGGGCGCGGCGCCTAGAGTCACATCACATCCAGCACCATCTGCTGGTGCTGCATCGTCTGGTGCTCCTGCTCGTCCATCTGCAGGTCCTGCTGCTGCAGCCGGTGCAGCTGCTGCTGGTGGTCCAGGTCGTCGGACTGGCAGGGCGACAGGGCGTCCGGGTCGTCCGCGTCGTCCTCGATCGAGTCCTCGACCACCGTCAGGTCGCCGGCGTCGTACATGGCGTTGCCGGCGGCCATGCCGTCGTCGCCGCCGTCGTCCTCCCGCCACTTGTCCATCGACCGCCGGCGCGCGTTCATGAAGAAGTTGCCGACGGTGGTGGGCTCGAGGCCGAGCTGGCGCGCGATCGTCACCTGCATCTCCTTGGACGGCCGCTTGGTCTCCTTGAAGATGGCCTGCAGCGTGCGCCTCTGCAGGTCCGTGAACACGAGCCGCGGCTTCTTGGGGTGGTCGCCGACCGGCTCCGACTCGGAGTCCTTGCGCCGCGAGGGCGCCCGCTGCGGCAGCTGCGCGGCCGCGATGCGCAGCGCCGACATGCGCTGGTACTCGGGCTCCTGCAGCCACTTCCACATGCGGCGGAACGTCTCGCGGCCCGACTTGAGCTTGGACCAGGGCTTGGGGTTGCGCAGCAGGTCGCTCAGCGTGCCCTGCGACCGGCACAGGACGCGCTGCGCGAAGATGGCCTGCGGGATGGAGTAGCGCTTCAGCTCGGCCGAGATGCGGGTCGCCAGCTCCTTGGTGTTGATCTCCTCCATCTCGTGGCACGGGTGGCCGCAGTTGGCCGAGCCGCCGCCGCCCGAGCCGCTGCCGCCGCTGCCGCCCCCGCCGCCGCCCGAGCAGCTGTCGTCGTGGTCCAGCTGGTCGTGGTGGTGGTCCGACGGCGAGAGCGGCGCCACGGCGGTCACCGTCGAGGTGCGGGGCACGGCCTCCGCCTCCGAGACCGCCACCATCACGTCGGCCGTCGAGGTCGGCGGCAGCGACAGGGACATGGCCATGGTGTCCGCATCGGACATGCCCCCGGACACGGTCACCGGCACGGTCACCGTGTGGGCCAGGGTCACCAGCTGCTGCTGCTGCTGTTGTTGTTGTTGCTGCTGCTGCTGTTGTTGTTGTTGTTGTTGCTGCTGTTGCTGCTGCTGTTGCTGCTGCTGCGGCGTGGACGGATTGCAGTCGATGACGACCGCGCTCTGGTGCTCGGCCAGGTCGGCGTGGGTCATGGGCATGAAGCTGTAGGCCGGCGGCTCGTCGCCCAGCGGCACCGCCACCATCTCGCCCATGGGCTTGGTGTCGCCCATGTACATGTCGTCGCAGGCCTGCGTGTCGTGCGGCGACAGGCTCTTGTGCGGGCTGTACACGCTGTGCGGCGACAGCGGCTCCTGGTGCAGGCCGATGCTGCCCAGCGAGTTGTTGCCCGGGGAGCCGACGTACATCTGCGACGGCGACATGCTCATGCCGTACGGCGAGTGCACCAGGCCCATGCCGCCCTGCATGAGCGTGAACGAGCCCGACACGTGCGACGTGTACGCGAACTTGTCCGCGATCGTGGAGATGGGCGGCAGCGGCTGCAGCGGCGTCAGGGTCGCGTACGACGAGTTGGGCGAGTAGCCGTGCTGGGGCGACATGTCGCCGTGCACCGACGTCAACGTCTCGTACGTCGGCTCGTGGTGGTGGTGATGGTGGTTGTGGTGGTGGCCGCCGAGGCGGAACGCGTCCGACGCGTCGATCATGCTGCCGTCGTCGGCCGACGCCGTGCTCAGCGCGCTCGGGGAGAGTGGCGGCGAGGACCGGGGGGACGCGACGTCGTCCTCGCCGAGCGTGTCGCACTCGTCGTCGTCGGGAGCGCGCTCTAACTCCCCGAGCTCCCCGTCGATCTCGATTTCATTCTCGCACTGCGGCACCAGGTCGTCGCGGAGGATCCCTTCGTCGTCGTCCTCCTCGTCTTGGGTCTGGATCTCGACCTCACGCTGCAGCGGCTCGTACTCGAGCACGGGGTACTCGTCTGTCACGCCGTACTCGGCGTCGTCCGCGTCTGCCCGCTCGTCCTCGAGCCGCTGCTGCACCTGCAGCTCCTGCTGGGTGCGGAACTCTCGCTCCTCCACTTGCTGCTGGTGCGCGCGGATGTCCGAGAGTTCGTCCTGAGGCGGCGGCGGCGCCGCCTCCTGCTGCTGCAACTGCTGCTGCAACTGCAGCTGCTGCTGCAGCTGCTGTTCGGCCAATTCCTGCTGCAGCTGCAGCTGCAACTCCTGGTGCAGCTCCTGCTCCTTGACGCGGATCACTTGCTGAAGCGCGTCCGACGTAGGCACGATCACGGACAGCTGGTTGGAGCGCAGCGGCTGCAGCGGCACGGAGGTCGCGGTGGCCGACTGGATGGTGCCGACATCGTACAGCTCCGCGGTGGTCGCGGTCGTCGACGCGGTAGCGGATCCCGGCGCGGACGTGAAGTGGATCAGCAACTTGCGCTTGCCGACGACGGGAACCCCGCTCAGGACGACGCCGCCCGTCACACCGCCCGCGACGCTCCCCGCTCGGGAAATGGTCAACAGCTCGGGCGCCGCCGCCACCGCCACGCTGCCGCCGCCGGGGGCGGACAGGGGAGGGGTAGTGTCCGGGGGGGTGGAGGCGGCAGGGGCTGCGCGCCCACCCTGCGCAGGGGCCACGAACAACAACACCGGCCGAGGAGCGTTCGCGCCCCCGCCTCCCCCGCC